CAAACGCACGGGAGTGCTTCTAAAATAAAGTCTAATTTTTCTGTGTATTTCTAAGGAATTTTAATATGAAAGCTCCTTGGTATTTCTTTCCCATTGTGGCCGTACTTGTCGTATTTCTGGGAAGTCCTGACGGACCGGTGACAGATTCCACACCCGTGCTCCAGTGTACTTAGACGTAAAACACACCATAGCATCACAAAGGCCCACATACCTGCCGCCTGGCCGCGGGACCGCTCAGGGAGACCGGCAGGAACAATACGGCAATCTGCAGGTGCAGGGGGGGGGGAGCAAATGGTATTCCAATGGGTTGATAGAAATAGCACTAATAATCTTCGAGCAGATCTTTCCGTGGTCGCGGATACAGTATTAAATTGCTAGAGAGTACAGTCTAGGCTAATACACTTGCAGCCACCAAAAGATCTCCTTGGACATTAGGAAAGTGTACATTTAGCCAAATTGATGGCATAATTTGCCAAACGAGATAGTCAGCCATATTAAGTCTATTTGTTGAAATCTGCTATTTTTAGTAGATGTTGGGATGGCGAAAACATAACGTTTCCTGACTCATCGGAAATTCTGAGCATATATATGTACTCGCCTTGTCATGTAAACCAACAAGTTTCACAACCACCTTGGTACGAGCAAAGAGGTTCTTGGTACGAAGCTAACTTTGTGCAGCTTCTTTCCTTCTGAAAAATAAAGACAAAACCGTGAAAATAGCTTATTTTCACACAAGGAGAAAGAAACCTATCGATGGAATGACACTGATCAACTTGCACTGATAATACATGTACATATACTACTAGTAGTATGCATTTCAAAACCTTTCCGTTCTCTCTTTTCTTCCGTCCTTTTATTTCTCAGTCTATCTCTTCCTCAATCCTGAATCGGCATTACTAGAACATTATGTACCACATATGGCACAGTGACTAAGTATGCTAAAAGGAGCACACATCATTACACATCAGTGTTTCCTGTAATTAAATGGGAGGATGCCTTCATCATGATACATGACACTTCAGGAAACGTGAACTGAACTCCAAGTATTTTTGTCTCTTTCTCTCCCTCATTCCCTAATATCGTATTAAGTATTACCAGAACATTATGCACCACATATGGCGCAGTGACTAAGTATGCACATCATTCCACAGCAGTGTTTCCTGTAATTAAATGATACATGGCACTTCAGGAAACGTGAACTCACTGCAGCTCTGCCGTGAAACAATGTCAGAAACGTGTGACAGCCTCCGTCCTGTCGGAAATACGGGAGACACGGAACAAAAGGAACAACGTCCCTTTCTTTTCAGCCAAGACGGAAATGATATAATGATAATTATACCTCTTTTTTCAACCCCATTGTCAACAGTACGTCACTGCATAGCTCGTGTGTTTTGTATGTACCTCAATTTGTATTAAACACATGTCTTACCCATTAAAAAGACACGTTGGACAGTTGAAAATGCTAATTTAAATCATGGCCCTATTTTCAGGCCAAGGACGTTAAATTGTATCCTTGATAAGACCATCTAACTTAATATAAGAAATACATCGTTATTCGAGTGTTGAGGGAAAATTGATGTTTCTTAGTTTACTTCTCATTCTTTAGCATTATGATGATACGAAAGAAATATATGTGCAATGTCTGCTTATGCATCTGTAATGATAATGTTATTGATGACACTCGACAATAATGTTATTGTTGTATTTCGTTCGAAATTATTCAATGCTATTTATGTACATGTCACATTTACTAGTATATGTCGTCTCCAGTTCTTGATGAGTGGTGACTATGTATATATTGAGTAAGGAATAGAGTATATATAAAAGTAGTACATTGTGTAAACAACGATACCTAAAACGCTGCTGTATACGCTCTAACAAATCGTGACTATTACTTCGATAAAATCTCTCTCTAAAAATCTGTAGGCTGTAAAACGTTTAGTCTGGATTAAGCTGATGTAAAAGTTAATCCAGCTCGTCATGTTCTGGAGATTTATGTTCGGATTATCTACAAGATCTGCGTGTTTTTTACGTGTTTTTATGTTCGGTACTTTTAGTGTTCTCCCTACCGCAGACTGGGTTTGTTGGACTAGTAGCCCTGCTTTTGTTACAGCATTAAACGATTAGTTTAGTCATGGTCTATCCACTATAGCCTCCATGGTCAATGGTCTTGCTGCAATGCCTGAGCAGGCGCTAGGTGGCGACGTAATGGCTGATGCATCACCTATCAAACTGGATTCATTTCAATGAATTGCGCTGGTCTTTTTCATACCAAATGACGCTAGAAATACAAGAAATTGCCCAAATCAATGACTTTTTTTTAAAATTTCATTTAAAGCTACTTGGTCAAATCAAGGAGCTTATAGGGAAATAAGTTGAATTACTATTACTTGACAAGGGAAATAGGTTGTCTATGCGTAATTCAATGGTTGGCTAGTTCTTCATGACAAATCTATTTTAATAGCAAACTTCATGATTATTTTCCTGCAGAGTAAACTTAGCCTATGTATGTAGAAATCAAACTTCAGTGGTTCTCTGAAGTGGGTAGAGATTGTGTATGATGCGTTTTGTTCAGAATAACTTGGATCTATTATGAATAACGATACCGACTCGAAGTTGTTTACATATCTCATCTTGTTTTAATACTAGTAGATACAATGTATTTAGTTTAAACTTCCCATCGTTGTGGTAAGTTAGGACGGTTGAACAGTTTTAGTATAGTAGAGGAAAAACTGGTTTGTGTCGGTTTGCGGGTGACTTTTGTTACCTTTTGATGTAGTTGTCCGAGACAAACAGATGCTATTATGTGAATAGAGTCGATGTTCAATTGTCTGTTATTTCTTCCGAGTGTCTTTTGTTGTCCACTTGAGGTTGTTTACCGTGCTCCAGGTAAACAAGTCGGACCGGTCGGCACTTTGGTGGTTGTCCGCACGCGCAGGACTGAGTGCCACACTCAATGGGAAGACGGTTTTCTGCCAAATACCTTCATTAATTATCAGTTGAAAACACGTTTCAAAGGTAACCGAAACTTCTGAAGGGCGCGAATGTTGCACAACGATACAACTTACAATAGGGACACAGAAAAAGCCACATAATCCACATCAGTATGGAATACTGGTATATCTGAAAATGAACAAGAAATATCCGTTTCTAACAATTCAAATGTAACGGCTACTTTTGAACGGCGCGAATACTGCACAACAGTATAGCTTACAACAGTGGCACAGAAAAAGTTTCATAATTCAACATCAGGGAATACTAGCATATCAGCAAATGGAAAAAAATAATGACGCATATCAAGTTATACAATACTCCTTGCAAAGAACAATTCACTGCTGTCTCGTCGACATGCTAATTATCGCGGAATTCGGACAATTTCAACATGTTTTGGTCCATTTCAAACCCAGCGGCGTTCTGTTGTTTTAACCCAGAGATCAGAGAAGCAGATATCTGTCCATGATCTTCTTAGCGACCAATAAAACACATGCGACGTGTAGATTATCTGAGATAATCTCCGATATCCAATGGGCGTGTGGAAATACAAGCTGCGAGCTGGGTTTAAAACTGGTGGGGAGGTAGCTAGCCGTCTCCATGGCAACGCAGACGACAACCGCTCGTCCAGAAAGAAATAATTGCACGTTGCCAAGGGAGAAGTATGCATTGAAAGCGCGCCTTCTGCTAGTATGGTTTCAGAACTGATTCAATGAGTGATACAAGTCAGTTACGCAGTTTGAATCTTTCCAGGCTCCTTGGTGATTCTCAGAAAACTCATTCTTAGAAATGTGTATTCAGATTCACAAGTATGGGATAGGGAAGCATCACTTTTTTTGTGAGGGGTACTAGTAGAACTCCTGGGAAACTGGCTCACTTTTCTCGGGGTGGGAGAAGGAACAATTCGTGGAGTGTTTGACAGAAGGGTACGAAACGGGGACGTCCCGCTGAGGGGGAGGGCAGCCCGCCCGCGGGAGGGCAGGGGAACCGCCGCCACCCCGTACAACAAACCCTCTCCTCTCCACAACTACCGCAGCACTTCACACCTACATATCAACTACCCCGATTGTCGCCGCTAGCTTATCATTTCCCAATACAGGATTATGACAGCACTTGAAGCGTGTCTCTGTATAAACTCGGCTACTACATACCAATACAGGCACAGGGTAGTCCCTGAATTTTACAAGCAAGAACACTTCCCAATTGCATTTTGTGCGGTGTCTCGCACCTTCATAAGCAGAAATAATAAATAAAAAATCTTATAAGGAAACAAACTGTGAAGCTAAGCAGAAACTTGAGCAAACGTAACACTATAACAGCTTGGCACACGAGTATTACTAGTATGCCTACCATGTTCTTGTTTTCTCCAGCGTCATAGACACTGTTGCAAGTGTGTATTTCTTTTTGTTTAGCAAAACCTTACAATGTAACACTGCAGCTATCCACGTTTTGTACGTAGGTGGTTTCCTCGTACCAGATTGTTCTGTGACAGGAACATGCACAATTTATCGGATTACACTTCTCTTGTCTTCAACTCTTGGACTCTTGTAGCTTCAGCTAAACGCCCGTCTCATTATAATTAGATCGTCTTTTACACAATTAGATGGGGGGGCATATTGGGAGAAAAGGGTCAGATATTCCGCGCCAGTGGCTCGGCTAAACGGGGGGAGTAGAGTCTGCTGGTTTCTGTGGCCTCCATGTCGACGAGGTCCCTAAATTGTATGTAATTGATTGTAGTTCGCCCAAAAGACAGTGCGTAATTGATGCGAAAATTGTCACAATTTGACGAATGATCTGGGCAATTATCCGGCAGGCCTCCCCAGACAAGGCTTTGTGTCGCGATGCCGTGTCATGGCCCCAGGCAGCGACACCAACCCACCAGGTCTTTATTTGAAAGTTGCTTGTTGTAGTAATTCATATACATTCTGCGCAAGCATTAACCAATTAGCAATCGGGAGTCGGCAGTAGTTCGCGGGGGAACAATAGCCTGCAACGTTCGCACCAAGTTGTTTGTCAGCGCCTTGAAAGTGCCGGTGTGTTGTGACACTCGCGTAAATTGGCGAACAATAGGGGCAAAAATTTCGCGCGCTGCTTTGATATGCGCATAGTTTGGGCGACAACTCTACCTGGCGTACGACTACAAGAGTCGGCGGAGGCGTTGGGTTAGTCATTCTGTCGTCAGACACCGAACAAGACACACGTCAAGTCGCTCTCTCTCCTCTCGCTCGTAACGTTTACCCACGGAGTACCGTATCAGTATTAGATCGAACTGCCGACGGGTACTGATCCCGCCCTGCACGCGGATACGTGTTGATCACAGCAGAACACCGGGTGGTTCGACTAGTCACCGGCGGGACCTACGTGCCTTCTCTACCGACGACTCCTCGCCTGTCTGCCGGTCCCCTTCCTTCCAAGGCGCCGGAGAAACTCGACTCTCGGCACTTCAGGCCTCTCACGCCGAATCGATCCACATCCTTGTGATCGCTGCATCTCGAGTGGCATACTATGAAGTTAGTGTGCACCTTGTGGGCTCTGCTTTTCCTGGTGCTGGCCGCGGCTCCCGTGGCGAGAGTGCATGCTGTGATCGGCCGATGGTGGTAAGTACCTCCCGTCGTTGTTCTCCGCCCGCCGGGGCGGTATGTCCCCTCCCTCCCCCTCCCCTACACGGGACGGGAGCCCGGGCACACTTGTACCGTACACCGTCCTGCCATGTCGCCCCCGCTCAAAACAAATCGAACGGCTCCGCTTGTCCTGACGTGTGGGTTTACTTTACTAACGTGTCCGGTTCGTCTCCTAACTTTCCCACCATCTCTGGCAGGTCGACACAGGTCGTTCCGGGTACAGTGTTACAGGTAGTTTATACTGTGGGAGTGTAACTCGTTTCGTTTGATATTTTCTCTCGTTCTCTATTCGCCATATCACTTCATTGATCGCACAAGAAAATGATTCCCTTGACCGCCGTTGCTAGGGTAGCTGTCCTGTCTGATAGAGAATTTGGGGATTTTTTTCTTTCTTCAGACATACGTTCCTCGATCTTATCAATCTAAAAACAGTTCATCCGATGCTAAAATTGTCACCAAGTTTTGTTACACCACATTTTTCGGCTTTATCTGTGAGGAAAAATACTCAGACGTATTGATGCTGGGGTTTTTACGTAACAATTATAGACAGGACATGATTCGCCCTCCCCAAACCAGCAGGGGTTTATAATTATGGTCCTTATTGCCGTATAGAACACAACTTTCCCCACATGGTTTACAACTACAGTTTTAGAACCCGCCGGTGGTCCCGTAGTTCCGTGGATTTTCTCGGTATAACCTAAGGGACTGCAGCGGGTTGGAAGTAATTTTGTACCATAAGTTCACACCCCCTGAGCCCAGGATTACACACGTTTGTTTTTCAAACGGCATATGATGCTCCCTAATGCGCTAAAATTATGGTTTCTATGAGTATAATCTTAGAGTCTTATGCCATATAGAGAAACCAAACGGTTGTGAATCCCTCTGTATAGTATTTGATATGTATATGTAGTATCGTTGTTTATGAGGATTTTTTTTTCCTGTTTTAGGGGCATCGCCAGCACTGTAGCTGTACAGGAGCATGCGAACATGGTGCCTGGCGTGGCACGGAAGGGCTCGGCCATCATGCTGGACCCTAAGAAGCATCCTCTCAACAAGAAACAGCGGAGGCTGGTGCGGCGGAACCCGGGAACGCTGGAGAGCATCGGTACCGGGGCCATGCTGGCCATCAAGGAGTGTCAGCACCAGTTCTCCAACCGTCGCTGGAACTGTCCAGTCAACACCAACGACCACGTCAACTCCGTCTTCGGCAACATCCTCAAACGCGGTGAGTTCCAATCCCAATCCCATACACTTCTCTCTCTCTACCTTAAACAATTGTCGGGGTTTTCTCTATCTTGTTTTGTGGCGGATCTATAGAAACACGGCTCTCACGGGAAAGAAGAGTAGCCCCTCTATTTTGGATATCCTTCTTATCTCTGTCCTTTGTGGAATTCGTGGGACCAGGGCACGACTGTGAACTTTAGAGCGTTGAAAGTGTGTTGTTATGTGGGACTATGTGGCGGCAACCTGGCCCGTTAACAACGTTAGACTTAGGGGGATCAGAAACTTGTATACAGTCAGTCTTGATTTGGTATTAAGTCAAATGATAGTCCTTTTCTGTAGCTGGTTGTGTGACAGGGCGACACGTCGCGTAGTTGGAGTGACTATGACAAAGCCCTGTCCCTCACAGAACCGCTAAATTGTGATAACTGCACCAAATCCCTTCCAAGGATCTTCCTTTATGTGTTTGTGTACAAACCGGCCAAAGCGTAAGCCTCAGGTGAGCCCGAATCACCCCGAGTAAACCCGAGTAAAACTCCGGGGTTTGTCGGCTTACGAGCTCGCCCGACCGGATCCGAAGGGCCCCTGCCCAACCACCCGTGTGTTATCAAAACAAGCTCGTCATCATTAGGCACTTGGAACTCTTGTTTCATTCCCATCCTGCTTTCACTCGTAAAAAATTCGGAACGTTGTAACGATAAATCATGAAACTCTTCCCTCTGAGCTGGAGCAGGATTTGGCGCCAACTTTGGCATGTGAAGTGGTGTGATAGCTGGAGTTCTCATGTTGGGGCTTGTGTCTGTATCCGGATAGCGTGTGTTATGATATGTCATGTTTATAAACATATGCTGGAATAGTTGAGGTATATTCCCACCATGGTCGTGGCTGTGGAATTGTTTTTGAGAAGAAATTGTACTATTTTTTTTGTTAGAATAGCAGTGTTTGAATTGACTTTTTTGGGGCATGTGGTGGACAGATTGTAGACAATTTTCTACGAATCCTTGAAGGGGGATGAGAAATAATTTGTTGGAAATTGAGTCCCTAAGTGAGCCACTTCGCCCTCTCTGTACATACAGAAAAAGCCGCAACAGCGTCAAAGTAAACCGACACTTTCATGTAAATTAGCCAACTCGCGCCCGGACTTACCCACTTCAAACAGTGCATTATTCTGTAATCCAGGTTTCGGACTCCAACAATGAACCTCCGGCGGTATGCGTTTCACCTTTTCCTGAGAAATGCCAAATCAATCAATTAAACGCTACTGAAACTCTATTGTTTTTCAAATTTCCCTTGCGGAGGTGGCTGTTGTTCCGTCCTATGTATTGATTGAGGCCGGGTCCCTTCTGAGGGCGGCTCCATTTTGAAGGTCCCGTGCTTTTTGTGTTGGCCAGTTCACACAGTTTCTGTGTTTGTTCGCGCAATTAGACCTGCGAAAAGTGTTCGACCAAAGGAGGTTGGTAATTGACACGAGGAACGAACTGGGAAAAGCACTAGCGCATGCGTAGACTAAAAAAACAGACAACGATTTTTTTCCAAGGGGGAGGGGGGCGTACGTACATGATGAAAAAATCGTCTGAGAATGAAAAATGTGAAAAGTTTGGACAGACACACACCTGGCCGAAGCGATGTCTGATTTTCGCCGACGGAATACCATCGCGGTGAGGTTGGCCTGCCCTCGGGGGTAGGACCTCCCATCGCCGAAAATAAAGACACATAATCATGGGGTAGACAAGCCGACCTGGACTATCTCAGACATCGTAAATTTGACCCTGGTCCTCCTCTACTTTCCCACCTGTGCTTGCTACCTCGGGGGTCGGTGCCCCAGTTTTGGGCCGTACCAACTCACTACAACAACATACATGGTGTCAGAACCTTTTTTCCGGTGGGGTTCGCCGCGATCACTCTCTTACAAATGTTGAAAGATTTTTTTGCTTTTATTTTTACATACATTTTCCTTGCTATTACCTTGGGTAACGCAATATAGTGAATTGTTCAGAATAGTTTGGTTGGGAATCTGTTCTGGTGGTGAGAATCACAGAGCTGTGATGAAAAGGCCGGAACTTTCCAAGCACCCCTCGGGGCTGCAGATATCCCCGGTCGGCGTGCTACCTCGGAAACATGTCCTTCCGTCCCCGCCAGCGCTGCATAGCCTGGGAAGACTGCGAGACGGGTGTTGTCAGGGCGTCCAACTTGTCATTTCTCTGTCATTCCGCCAGCCAGAAACAATAGGAACAGCTATGGCAGAATCGTGGTCCTTGTGTCTCGGGTTCGCCAATTTGCGAGCTTCAGAAAATCCCATGGTCGAATTTATGCTGAAGTGTTTCCGACAAGGACTTAGAAACTTCCGTAGCCTTGACTTTCTTAGTGATTTATCACTAGCACGTGCTTTTGGTGAATAAAATTTGCCCAAAAAACCCCCAACAATTTGTATAATCAGACTGCTAGTAACGGCAAACCGGAACAAGATGACTTGGTTATATCCGCCACATTTCAAGTCTTCAGCAATCATGTGTATTTTATAGTGCCAATGAAGTGCTTAATTGCTGTAACTGTCAACTTTTTCTTGAGATAAACTTCAACTTCTTTAGAATAAAGATGGCAAATATTTTCTTGTATTTTAATGACAAGGAAACATTAACACAGCTGACTACAATAAGACGTCTTGCCTTTGTTATTCCTTCTTGTACTTCACAACCTGCTCCTTGGGGAAGTCTGGGAACTTTCTCGCCTCCTTTCTTGAGACGTGCTAATTGTGTGAAGTAATCTTTCAATTAGCCAAGTCATTATGTTCCATTACGTCACCACTTTACACCAACGGTCGCACGAACGTGACGTCATTTATTGCCTTCTTGGAAAAACAGCAGATTATTTGAATTTGTTTTATTCATCTATTTTTCCAGGTTGCAGAGAAACTGCTTTCATCTACGCAGTGATGTCGGCTGCCGTCGCGCACGAAGTTGGCCGAAACTGCGCGGAGGGTACGATCGAGACCTGCTCGTGCGACTACCGAAGCAAGGGCCCGGCCGGAGAGGACTGGGAGTGGGGCGGCTGTTCCGACAACGTCGAATTCGGCAAGCAGTTCGCCAAGCAGTTCGTGGACGCTGGGGAGAAGACGAAGGACTCCGTGCGCTACCTGGTCAACATGCACAACAACGAAGCAGGCAGAGTGGTAAGTCATCATCTTCTTTTTACCTAAAGCATTGAGTTTTTCCAAAGAGGTTTAAATGAATGGTTTTCTATGGATAGTTTTCGCATGATTACTACTGTCTGTGAGTGAAAGGGTGAATTAAATGCAGGACGGGTCGTGAGATGGGTGGTCTACCCATCACATGTCAGTGACAGAATGAGAGGCGGTTTTCCGTTGTTGTGAGTTTGTGGTCATTAACTGACCATGAGGCATGTAGTGGTTATTAAAGTATAAACACCGGGCCGTGCTCTTGCCCATAACAAACTCGCGTGGGCCCACGTTTACCGCGGATGTCCCATCATCCAAACAAACAGAAAATTTCCGTCCTTCCTCCAGAACATGTTTTAGAAACAAGCAGCTCTATGGTGGCAATAAATTCACAGGTCACGGCAAATCCCGGCATGCAATGGTGCAAAACAAACATGGCTGCCGGGGATGCGAACTACTTTTTTAGACAAGAAAAATCAGCTCGAATTTGACCACTTCTTTGATTGTAGATTGTAATTTGAAGATGATTTGGATGTAATGAGCCCCTGTTCTAGATGCCAGTGTGTACGCGTAACCAACGTACATGTTTATCACGTGAACAGTGTAGCGACATGTGGCCGTACAGGACTAACAACCCCCGCTCCTACCGACCTATAATTACCCCACCTTTGAAGGCATACTTAGCTGGTGCAGGATAGATGGTTAGATGCAGTGTGTTGGGATAACCACCCTTATTATAGTGTTCCCTGCATTCCATCGCGTCAAAGTCAGTCTCCCCGAGAGCTAACCAATAGGAGAACGCCGTCCAGATGTCTTTTGGCCGGCCATGGCCTCCTGACGATCGGACGACTTCATTGAAGTCAGACAAAAAATGTGCCCCTTATCTATATCTATAAAGTCGATAGAGAACAATGTACACTCGCGTTTACAAACTCTTCGACTCCATTCCTGAATGATTACCATCAATTGGCCAAGTTTTCCCACTGAAAACAGTCCTTAAAGTTACACACGAACGGATTCTAGGTAGGTGGGCATGCAAATTTCTGCATTGCTCCCATTCTTCTAATGAAAAAGAGGACGATATTTATCTGAGGGCATTTGGGGCTCCTGGCTATGATATGTGGATCAACATTGTAGCATCGAGTTACGTATTCCGTATGTCTTAGCATATCCCGGAAACGTTACCAACTATCCACTGCAGAAAAGTCTACACCTGTAGGCGTGACATTTTCTGTCTTTCTCCAACGGGTAGATAACGAAGATAACGTTTTAGGGGATAAAGCTCGCAGTCACACACGTGCCGGCGCGATTAAGACAGATATCGTGATACAATAAGTCGGAGATGTTGCACGTTTAGTTCTGCGTGTAAGCTCTGACAGGTGCTGTCTACCTGACGCCCTGTGACATAAACCACGACCCGGGCGGTCTGTTTGATGTCCCGAAGATTACTGTCATCTTAATTTTCCACCGGCTTCTTCGGTAGTCGTCACACGGGTCGCGGGCTGCAAAGTGCAGCATGCCCCCGCCATCTTTGTTGACACCTGGTTTTCTTTCTTTCCACCTCCCCGAGTCCTAATGAGCAGTAATTGTGGGTAATGACGCGTATTAATGATACATAAGTACATTCGCCCCGGGTGCGTAAACCAACACATTGTATCACCCCGTAGCCACCGCATCTAAATAAACAACAATTCCTTGGTACATAGCTCCAAAGGACGGCCACACAAGTTCCCTTTCCGCATCGGTTGACATATTTCAAGTCTCGCCGTTCTATCGTCATGAGAAATCTTTCTATAAATCACTTGTATGTCTGAGTCTCTTTGGTGTGATCTCGGAGCGTTGACTCGAAGTGACCTTTTATTTGTCAGCTGATCTTGGGTGGACCCTAGCTGCCATTTTGTTGACAAGTCAGTTGAATACTTGATCCGGGATGCCTCAAGTCAGCACATCGCCTTTTTTTTTTACAAAATCCAAAATACCTTCGAATGTCCATTTCTAACTCCCTGCTTGAAATGGATAAAAAAGCGATCTTATCAATCTATGGGACATTCTTGAGGCTTATATGGCCTATTAAGAGCCCTCTGCTGTATTCTTCGTTGACCCCCAGTTCACCCCTCTAATCGCAAAATTGAGTATCACCTGTCTCACCCGTCTTGTCTTTGATTCACCCAAAATCTCAGTATTCTTCTCTCAGACGGAAGGATGACCTCTTACATTCTTTCTAGAACCGAAGAGAATCGCAAACTTTAGAGTCGTTTGATATCTTTAGAAAGCCATTTGAGTTGCTGTTATGCCGTAATGTTCCGGGTGGAACATGGCAAGCTAACATGGAGTTCCAATACTATCATGAAGCTTCATCTGTGTTGGTAGTTACATGTAGTTTCAATGTTGTAAATGTTGATGAAATGACGCAACTTTGAAATACCGCCCGAAGGCAGATTCCAACAGCTTATTGTCGCGATTGTCCTGAAAATTTTGTCATTCCTTTCGAGCTATGCAAGACGACTGACGTGTTTTTCTTTTATCGTTTTCTCCAGGCTGTAGCTGAGAACCTGCGGAGAGAGTGCAAGTGCCACGGGATGTCTGGTTCCTGTACGCTGAAGACCTGCTGGATGCGCCTGCCCAACTTCCGTGACGTCGGAGACAGCCTCAAGGAGAAGTTCGACGGCGCCTCCAAGGTCGCCGTGCCTGACATCGGCAACAACCGCGGCTCCAGGGCAAAAGTCACCGGGCTGGTCCCCAAGAACTCCCGGCACAAGTTCCCCACAGACAACGACTTGGTCTACCACGAGAGATCTCCCAACTTCTGCCGCAACAACCCGCGGCTCGGCTTCGAGGGCACGAGAGGGAGGGAGTGTAACGTGACGTCCCGGGGTTTAGACGGCTGTGACCTGCTGTGCTGCGGGAGGGGGTACGCCACACGGCAGGAGGTGACCAAGGAGAGGTGCAACTGCACGTTCCAGTGGTGCTGCCAGGTCAAGTGCGAGGAGTGCGTCAGAACGAAGACCATCCACACGTGCTTGTAGTAGTAGGACTTACCTTCTATCTACTCTAGTCAACATAGTCCTTCATAGGACAGCAACGGACTTCTACGTACGATCCACAACCAACGTGCTACTCAAGTCTCTGCACCACTCTGTAAAATCATGAACTTTTGCAGAAATACGACGGATGGAAAGACCTCACGGAATACTGCGTTCCGTCTTGTAGCTTTTTTTCATACACATTGGCCCGATATCAATACCTAGCTCTGCAGGGAACAGACAATTTTGTACATATTTTACTATTTATGAATCTATATTTATATATAAATGTGGAGAAGAAAAGATCTTACATTATTTATTGCTGCAAAGGCATTCTCTTCTGTGCTTTTTGTGGATCTGACTCAGCTAGCATATTTGACTGCTATGAACTGCATAGACACTGATGGCGTCAACAGTTATTACGGATGTATTTCTCTTTTTTTAACTAATGATTCTAAGATATTGTCGTACGAGAAGTAGTGAAGATTGTGGTAGCGTTGTAGTGTAGATCTTATGTTCTTATTGTTGTGAACTGACGTAAGTCTAGGGCGGGACCCTATGACAAATAGTTACGCACTCTGACCTTTGACAATACAAAATACGTCATAGACTATGCACTGCCAGATTGCTACCGAAGAACATCCCTTACAGTTACCATATTCAGTGTGTACAAAGTTTGCTTCATTCCCAGCGTCCCTTGTGAGGAGGAAAGGGGTAGCTCGTGTGCGAGAAAGATGACATGTGAATATTAAATGTGGAAAAATATTATTGTGCAATAATGATGCTGTGTCTTCCCTGCACTTTTCACGGAAAGATAATATCATATTGGTAAGGTCTGTGTAAAGATATCTCTGCTGCACCTCGACTGTTTATGAATACAATGTTTTTATAACAAGATATTCTTCGCTTCTTGTCGTTTCTTCTTTCGGTGTGTGGGGGAGGGGGGTCTTTGTGGAGATTTAAGTTCTGCCGAGCTTGAAAAAGATAAAGGATGATGCTTCTTAGTCACAGTACGCGATGACAATGACAGAGTGAGTCAGACCTCTTTTAAACTCAGCTCAGTTCTCGACAAGAATTCTATGATTCACGCTTTCAAAACTCAGACGAAAAGTAGTCAGAATTCAGGCGTATTCATGTAATAGAGTCACAAACCAACCGTAAGTTCGAATTCGTTACGTTCGTAAATGTCTAGTGTTTAGTACAGCTATCATAAGAGCAAGAGGGGGCCCGAACTTTGTTTCCGTAAACTCGTGCTATTTTTGATCCGTCAACGCAGTTAGCATTTACCTATAATCAAGTTTCCTCCCACGTACCTCATTGACTCATTCGTATAATTTCCTTTATGTATTACATAGATCTATACAAACATGGGTAAGACTGTTCAAAACGGCTGGCTTTGATTTGCTAGCAACATTAGAGTGGGCAGTTAAGGGAAGATCTACCTGTTGTGCCAGTTCTAATTTCGAACAAGACGTCAGGACCGATCTTTGAAAGAATCTAATGTCCTATGATTAGCCTCGTGATCGTGAGTAAAAATAGTACATTATTGTGCACATTGTTCGGGTGTAAGCCCGGTAGCGTCACCAAAGTGTGCGTTTCTATACAACGTATGCATTGACTCACTCTACACAAGTTCTTAAATCTAAATCTGGGCAAACATGGGTGATTCTTTACAACAAGCCGAATAATTTGCTTTGATTTTTTGTGGACTATTATGAGTAGACATAAGTTCTTATGTCAAGACCGTCCTCTGTCAACTTATTAGCTTTGGCCGCCTCGCACCTTATAGTCCAAGAAAAAAAATAGCATGTCACTGTGTGCATTGTTCAGCATTAAGCCTGAAAGCGTCAGTAAATGTGCTTTTCTGTAGAACGTATCACTTGACTCACTCCACACATTTTCTTATGTCTCAAAGTAAATTTGAGCCAACATGAGTGGTTCTTTACAAAAAGCAGAATGATTTGCTTTGATTTTCTATGGACTGGTACGAATAGACATATTCACTGTGCAAGTTCGTATGTCAAGACCGTCCTTTTGAAATCACTTAATGTCAAATCATTAGCTTTGGCCGCCTCGTGCCTTGAGTCCCAGTAAAAATAGCACGTTATTGTGCACATTGTTCGGCGTTAAGTCTCATAGCGTCAGTAAATGTGTTTTTCCACACCACGTATCCCCGCAACTCTCACGCAAGCCTCAATAGATATCAGTCGTCAGCCATCAGAATTGATCTTGCAAATCCTGTAAGCTTCAAGTATTTTCATGCACGATGGACCACGTTAGATCGGCCTTGTTAACACAGTACGTGTACTATGTGCTATTGACCAGAGCATTGTACACCGTACTGTGCACTAGTAAAAGCTTGGCTACTTTTGTCAGGACTTAAGAATATACTATGATTATCATGAAAGTTCATCTGTGTTGGTAGTAATCATAGTATATTTTTCAAACGTAGTGACACTCAATGTGGGTTTACAGACAGTATGATTAGCAAAAAAAAACTGGCTGCAAAATATCACTTATGGTAAAATCGTCTTCATAACTATAACTATTATAACCTCCAATATTCAAGAACTTCCACTTTTAACACGCTCATACATTGATGAATACATGTTGTCATTGCCGTTGGGAAATTATGTCTGCAAATTACGTTAAAGATGGATTTGATTGAGCGATTATACATACAGATACATATGAAGAGTTTAACAGCGACGTACTAGTATTTTGCTTGCGACAATGTGAATAGCCTAAAGTAATGCAAAAAGACGGCCCAGGACAGTAGGAATGTAGTAAATACAGACAAACGCGACGTTTTGACCTTGGATGACCCGTAACGAGGTTGATTTGTACAAAATGGAGACAAACAACTTGAGCTTTCAATCACACGCCATCCTGGCTTTCGTGGCTCATGTATCTCGAAAGCTTGAAGAATGAAGTTTTCTGACAAAATATCTGACAAAATGTTCTGTATCAGTATGGCCGGTATAACCGTGTAACACACCAGCTTCGCAGGCACGCGGCGCGGCGTTCACCTGATACATATAGTTTAGGGGGATAGAAGTCGACAAATTGGGATAACAATGTTTTTGCAGGAACTACAACTTACACATAACGTTCATAACGGTCGATAAAAGATTAACGTGAACGTTGCTCCACACCTAAAAACTTATGTGTGACATGATTTTCAGACTCTCGAAAACTACCTGAAGATAATTTGTTGTTGAATGATGAAGGGCTAACGATGATGGCTGTTTTTTTTAATACAAAAATTACGTTTTTTTAATATTCCAACATGTGATCACAAGATGTGGTGGGGACACACTCACTTTTTTTTTTCAACTTAATGCCACCACCAACACAGGGGACAATACAATACTCATTTTCACCTGAGTGAACTGGGGAAAACTGATGGTTGAAGAGGATTTTAAACTTTCTATAGGTTATTTTTCCGATATCGAAAATCTGCAATCAGTGCCCAGTTTATGGAACTCTCTAGAAACGTCTCCTTCCCTTCAGGAGTGATTCCCAGCTTATTTTCTAGTCAAAATGTCCAGAGGCTCCCCTGCGCGCGGAGACAGCCTCACAAAGCACACCACGAGCGAGGAGCCGCCAAAATGAGCCGTGCAAAATTGGAGTGGCTGGAGAGAAGGGGACAAACATCTCAGGTTCACAATGGCGGTGCCAGTCCCATTCACACATGCGGGTGAAGCCTGTCACTGTCTGCGAGAAAATGGTGAGAAAAACTTGGACAAGAAAGGCGGGACGGGGAAGCTAGGGGATCGCAAAGTTTAGTTGTGAGCGAGCTACGGAAAAAGATCAAGATACGTGTCTTCTTTGAATAATAATGGAGAGCTGGGTTGCAACGTCGACATTGGCCTCTTGCCATTGTCAGAGCTGTGTCACGAAACTCTAGATCTGTCTTGATAACAAAGTTTAGATCTACAATTGGTATTTACAACAAGGGCACAACTATAAACATCCTTTCATTATCAGAGTTACGTGCTACAAAACAAGCGGCATAACAATTATGAAATATTTCTGTATTGTTGTTGATCACCATTCGAAAGAAAACAAAACAGGCATATGTGGATGATACAATGATAACAATAGATTACCTCGATACTTTAAAACTTAAAGGTACGTTTCATGACTGTTTTACACCCATGCTCTACCAAGGCTCCGAATCTTCCCTTCACAGACAAAGCATCATTAAAATCCCATTATCTGCTATACATGTACGATAACAAGTGGTGATATTGATCAATGCCTTGTCCATTGACATTCCCCATATCAGATGTAGATAGTCATCAAAAGGATCTGCCCTACACAGCACATGTCATTAGAGCCAAGATATATGCTCGTGTCTTCTATAAAGTCACCATTAACTATAGAACTCGCCACGGGGTCACTCACTCTGTATAGAAGACCAGTCGGGTAGAAATAACGCAATGATTGAGTATCAAGGCCTTCTATTGGGCTAGTTTGTCATGGGGACTTTATAACGTGCCCCACGGTTGGGTGGCGAAGGAAACAAGCAGAACGCTATTTTAAACCCCGGGTCAGAGCTAGGCCATGTAGGCCAGGCATCGTAAAACCAAGAGGCCAACAGTCCCTGAGCTTTGAGGAACACATGCCGCTTTCTTGTCTGATTTCCATACGCTCGGCTCAATGTTACAATTCCTAGTCGTAACGCTACATCGCAAGACCGAATTTTCATTAAAATATGCAGGCAGTGTGCAACTTACCGAGTCCACTATTCAAAGAATTGTTGTACATGTAATATAACGCTAAGTAATCATATACAGTAGTATACATGCTCAATACAATGCCATTTGTGACTGTGAGATCATGATCAGTTGTGACTTGAGGGTCTAGTTTCAGCTATGACGTCTTTTAATTCATTACGTCATCGACGCTTGTATCCTTCACATCTGTGTTCTGGTCCCTCTACAAATTCAACAAAATTGAAGAAACCTCCTTGCTGAAAAGAACCATTGTAATACTGATGCTGTTTTCCTGCTCTGACATTATTAATGTTGAATAAAAAGAATAAAGCAAGATAATACGTACCAAAGCGGTAGCCAATCAGGACGTGCTTATATGAAGTGTCATCTCTGACGTCACTTCCCAATATACTGTACTCTGCCTACGAAAAGAATGGCAAATTCACATGATAGCAATTGCGTATGTTTCTCACCAAATTACACAAGTTAAACACACACGTGGTACAGGTCAGACAGTTATGGTCCATAGGAACTCAAAACTGAGGAAAATTACTCACCCAACTCAGCCGGTTGTTGTACTTTGTTGTTGTTTACATGAAGAGTCGGGGTCGCCAATGTTGTCCGCCATTTTGAATTCGAACCTCCCGCCAAATTTCTGCGCAAAGCATCATGGTATTCTTCAAAACACACGGGGCTTTTGCCTTGTCTACAGTGAGAAAATCTGAAGGACCGCGAACAACTATCAAAGCTTGGAGTTACGAAACGAAAGACCGCAAAGCATTCAACAGGTCTATATGATGATAGACATGATTGCAATGCTTTTACGCAAGTATGAGCGGTGAAAAAGCGACCCCTAGCGTATTGAAGCAAAGTCAGCACTGCTTTCATATTTATACTTGTCCATGGCAATCATAACGAAAACATACTAGTTGTCACCTACTAATGTGTCCACCATCTCAAATTAAGTCCCATAGACTGTGACTTTTGTCCCGAATAATTAGTAAGGGAGGCACCCAATCCCTGGGCATTATTTGAGAGGATCCTTGAACGATGGGTTCTTAGCAAGGACACAGGAAATGTTACTGTCACAGTCTCTCTTTTCCACAGTGCTGCACTGTCACATCAGTTTTACAAGGCAAAAATTTTATCCTACTTTATCTGATCTTGCAATACTTT